GCAACAACAACAACAACAACAACAACAAGCAACGACAACAACAACAACAACAAGCAACGACAACAACAACAACAACAACAACAACAACAACAACGGCAACAACAACGGCAACAACAACGGCAACAACAACGGCAACAACAACGGCAACAACAAGCAACGGCAACAACGGCAACAACAACAACGGCAACAACAAGCAACGGCAACAACAACAACAACAACAACAAGCAACGGCAACAACAACAAGCAACGGCAACAACAACAACAAGCAACGGCAACAACAACAACAACAACAACAACAACAACAACAACAACAACAACAACAACAACAACAACAACAACAACAACAACAACAACAACAACAACAACAACAACAACAACAACAACAACAACAATTTATTTCGCACCACCAAGTAAAATAACATTACATGATTTTTTTAAATATATAAATATTATGGCACAGGTCACCAGAAATAGTGAAGACTAAACCAGTCTAGTGACCTTTTATAAAACAAATGAAATAATGAGTTTACATCATTTTGTATAATTATAAAAGTATATTCATGAATACTTGTGGCAGCGCTAGTAAATGAAAACATATTTTCCGCAATTTTATTCTTGAAAGATGATTTGCTAAGAGTTTTATATTTATCATCAATATCATTCCATGCTTTAGGACCCTGAAATCGAAGACTGAATTTGCCATAGTTAGTTCTTATTTTGTCAATATAATATGTATTTCTAGAAGCCAATCGGGTATTATAATTATCTACTGATGTGACCTGTTTGAATATGTTATTAAATGTGGCAGGAAGATTCCCGTTATGATAATCATACATGAATAAAGCGCGTTGTTTATAGAAAAACAAGATCAACGAGCTTCAAAATATTAAGATTTTTAAATAAAGGACTAGAAGTAGAATGATCGTCAAATTTAGAAAAGGTAATAATTCGAACTACTCTTTTTTGTAAGGTTATTATTGGGTTAAGATTTGAAATATAAAGAGCGCATCTGGACTGCGAGGCAAATTTCGTTAGTCCGTGACTTTTCAAATTACGTGATTTTAATAAAATGCTAGCGATTTATTCCATACAACTGGCGCAACGTTATGAGCTGCCTATGTTATCAATAATATCAAACGTCGCAGTATTCACAATTTGGCGCTTTCTTACTATATATGCCACTTGCTGACACAGCGCAGTGAGACTAGGTTGTGATAAATAACTTAGGAAGGTTTGAAAAGGCAACGAAGAGATGTAACGATTTTTTTAACACTGCCAATGGATACGGACCACAAATTATGTCTTTAGTTGTCGATATTTCTTTTATATTCAATAATATTTTGATGATATTATATCACACTGTTAAAACTAAATCATTCTTCCCCAGCCACCCTCCTACGCCCCGTCGAATTTGACAAGTGTCCTGATTTTACATGGGTCCTCGGATCCTGATCCTGGGTCCCGGTTTTACATATAGCCCTTTCGAAACTATCCGTATCAATTTACTGCTACGTTAAATTTGTCAGTTGTTGTGATAAGCGTTTACCGTGTGACGCAGTATTGACAGACAACGAGGAAATTATTGACCACTACCAATTATCAGACTAGTGATGGCTTTCATTTTAAAATAAAGTAAACATTCAATAATTCTGCTTGCTGTAATGGTGTTGAACAACTGTCTTAATTCTTAACGTCAGTCTCGTACCCAAGTTCTTTAGTAATACATAGCGGCTTCAGAGCTCTGGGCAAGTTTTTAGGCGCGCGGGGTTTCTTGGGGAGGTGGCGGCGAGGTCCCCGTGCACCTAAAAGCTCGCCTAGCCTGAAGGCGCTATTTATAACTAAAGAGCCTGGGTACGAGGCTGAATCACATACTGAAATTAAAGCAAAAATACCCCAGGAAATAATTTGAGATGTTTCACCTGTTTGGCTGTTTAAAAATGTTCAATAGATCAATTGGATTTTTCCCCAAAGACGTACACATAATATTATCGTTCTCGACTTTCGCGTAACATACGTTTAATCGTGGCATGCACTTAAGATGTTTAATTTCTCACGTAAATGGCTCGCTCTAAGTTTTTCCGCACAGTGTTCTTTTTCTCAATCTTAATTTTCTTAAACCCATCTACTGGTTTGCATGCATCAGAAGAAGAAAATCGCACTAGAAACCGCAACAAATGTTTCAAGTGTAAACGGGTCTTTAGGTAAGGCTACCCTGCCAGACTGATACGCTGACCTCCAAAGCTACAGTTATTCTAGTCATGCTATACAAGAAATACACTTCGACAGTCGAGCGTTATTCACATGAATTCATATAGTATTGAAATTGAGAAGTGTTTTGAAGAAATTTAACTCTATAAATTTAAATAACATTGACATGGTACACATTGGGTTATTTATATTGTTTAAAGCACCAATAACGTGACGAAAAAGTACTGATTTCCCGTGGAATTTCCTTTCACCTAATATGTTAATTAGTATTTGTAAATTTGAGATGACATCCGTTGATTACATTGGAATTCGCCCAATTAGCGCAAAACATTTGGGCATTCAAACCAATGCAATCATTGGCAGGAATATATGGATCACACAAGACTGGGCGCGAATATCTTTGGGAAGTGACTGAATGGTGTGCTGCCTTGAGAATTTTGTTATGGTTTTATCACTTCATGACTATTCAACTCTGTTTTTTGAGTAAATTCCGCACTTAAAATTTTGAGTAATTGTTACTCACATTATTATTATTCATAGGAGTTCTGAATCCGGCTATAGTATAGTTTTATTTTAGCACGAAATATCATGAATTACTAACGTCTATAGCCACACAACGTTCGCTCAAGAACTTCATTTAAACAAAACAAAATGCATTAATTAAAGTCCTTATTAATTAATATATTTCTCATATTTTTAAATTTTTAAAACCAACAATTAATATTTTTCATTTAATTCATATTTTTCATATTTTCATATTATTTTTCATAACAATTCATATTTTTTCATATTTTTCATTTAAAACTTTCTTGAAACGTTTATTCTTTGACTACGTATACCATATGAATTACAGCGCATCCGGTTAATTCTCTGCCCCCTCCAGGAAACTTAATGCCAACAGGTGATTGTGTGTCTGTCCATGACCGATCTGTCACGAGGAAACCGTGAGACTGGTTCAGGGAATATGATGTTGTTTGAAACGTCATGACCAGTGGTTTGGGCTCCACAATGGGTGCAAGTTAGTTGCAAGTATACACCAGAATTTGATACTGGTTCATTCGAAGTTTGGGTAAACTTGTGCCGCGTTTTCGGTTTGTAGAACTTCCCTAGGAAATATTATATTTCATATAAAATAGTTATATTATTTCAATAAAGCATTGATCTTTACTGGACCTTTAGAACATTAAAAATGACGAATTACGTCATTTTCTGGCAAAAATTAGTAATACGTAATTCTTACGAAATAAAAATAAAAATGGCGCCCATGGAATAGCGTACAAAAGTTCGCTATAGTAATCAATATTTTTGTCGATCAAGTCGTGTCTTATTTTTTTTTTTGGGGGGGGGGGGCTTTTTGAAAGAAATATATTAAGAATTCACTAAAAGTTATCACGAAGTTATCACTGTTATGTTATCGAGGAGGGAAGGATTGAGACAAGCAACGAACAACTCCTACGTACTGGCCATCTAGGCCTAGGGAGAACAGTTTAGAACTGATATTCAAGAGGTACCCAGTGTAAATATTTGAGGTTAGATAGAGTTTGTATTTATCATTCAATCTATTAGATTAGCAATTTTTACGAATCTATATTATTACGTTGGGAAAAGAGGGGCTTATTCCCCCAGGTGTAGCCTTGGCCCATTTTAAGCATAATTCAAGATCAATGACTTCAATGTTTCTAACATTTTTTAACATTTTTAATGTCGCTGAACTGTGCCCTTTAACAAATGATAAGCCTTTAACAACAACAAAAAACGATATGGAAAAAACTAAGAAAATTAAAGGATGCATTTTCAATTTTGCCACCTGTATCAGCCTACCTTCATTGGCTTCATACCATGCTGCATGCATGCTGGACATTTTCTGTGGATACTGGTACAGCTATCTTCATTCACACTCATGTGTACTGCAAGAAAAACCAAATAAGAACAAACATTTAAATGTATATGAATCATCATTCAAACATCGTTCGTATTTATTTCTCTAATTCTACGAGCAAAATCACATGATTACCTATAATATATACTAACAAAATGTCTGATAACACTGCATAACTCTACTAACAATATTTTTACCTCAGGATTGTCGTCATTGCGTCTGTTTCTTATGTTGTTTATCTTTAACTAGATTCTTCAATAGAGCCAGATCTTCGAGACTATAGGAAAAACAACACATATATTATCCTTTCTAGCAGAGTGCCTAGAGAAATTCGCGAAATATAAGATAGAAAATATTCCGAAAATTAACAACATATTAAGGCACAAAATTCAAAAATTAATTTTTATATTTATATTTTGGGTAACGTTCGTTTATAAAGTTCATTATTTGGATATTACAAAATGTGAACAAAGCTGCGAACGGACTGTTCCGCATTTTTCAGATGAAAATGTACTGTAGAAATATTCCAATTTTTAGTATACTTACCAAAGAAAATAGAACATTTGCGATATTCAATCTTTCTTTCAATGGGTCTATGTTACCCCGCAGTTTCTCACGGTTCATCATCCGTCTCGCAAACTATATGAACAAAATTTCATTTTATAACATATATGCAGGAGTTAATAAATTTCCTTTAATTTTGCCTGTTTAATTAACTAGCCTGAATTTAGGGTCATCTTAACGATATCAATTCAGGCTACTGTTTAACGGGTCATTTGGTTTACCCGGTCCCATGTGATTACTGTCTGCAACCTGATCCTCCATGGGCCATCATGCATCATACATTTCTAGAGGACCTGTAGAATCTTCCAAACAAGATGGTTCGCAATACGTACACTTGTACGTATACTATATACGTATACTGATGTCAATTAAATTTTAAAGGCTGCTATAATTTGGGAACTAACTAGTCAAAACGTTATGAAGGGGGTTAATTATAAAAGAGCTCATCGTCGGTCATAAAATGCATTTTTGCTTAAGACATTTATTCTATTTTGGTGGTTGTTACGCGTTGTTACGGAGATTACAACTGATCATTCAAATAGATGTTGTGATATGGTACAAATATTTCAACTCCAAAAACGTGCAGCGCGTGTGATCCTGGGAGCTGATTGAAGAGCAAGCACTGTTGAACCATTCAAAAAACTAAGCTGAATACCGTTTTTTGACGAGGCGAAAATAAACAAATGCATTTTTAGTTTTCAAACGTTTCTCGCGGGAGTGCATACTTTTAACTGACTTTCTTAAATCAAAGTTACTAAGTCAAAAGCAAGTTAAAAAAGTTTTGCAGCACTATTCTACGAACTATTTTCTCGTATCTTTTATCAGATGACTATGAATAGTCCTGACAATCTGTACATGTCATATTTTTTAGATCAGTGTGAGGTCTACGTACCCGCGTGTACTATATAGCCATGCACGCGCGCCCGCGACTATTGATAGACTTTTCACTCCGCTTTCCTTTGCCTGGATGTAAATTAGCCGAATAGAATTAGCACCCAGTGACCTTTTTAGTGCGAAGTTGAGCTGGGATAATCTTTCAACACGCCGGGAAAAGCATGCATAAAGCCATATATTGATGTTTAAAACAATTAATGAATTAACTCCGCATTATCTCCGTGAATTGTTTGAATCCCGCAGCACAGGATACAATTTGTGAAACTCTGCATGAAAACACTTTATTTGTGCCAAAACCGCGAACGAACTATATGATAAAAGAAGTTTTAGTTACATGGAAATGAGCTGCCTCAAAATGTACGAAAAATATGCTCTCTTACAGTCAATTCAAAAGAGAAATTGACGACTTATTTTCCATTAAGAATTGATGGATTGATTCAACCTCGTACAGACCCTGCAGGGAACGAGGAAGTGATTGATTGATGGATAGATTGATTGATTGATTGATTAATTGATTGATTGATTGATGTGTTTGAGGATTAGCGCTCGTAATTATTACTACAAATTAAAAGGGGTTGTTTATATAATGGCCCTTTAATTGAAAAGCTAAGCCGTTTCAAATCGATTACGCCGGGATTTCGTCACAGATCCTTTCGAGTTAGCTTATACGTCATGCATGAACTGCAATGGCGTGTAGTGAATTGGTATGCTAAAGCCTGGTTCACACATGCCTGCGATATGCCCGCGCATACAGCTGTTGATGCAAACATTTTTTGTGAATTATTTGGTTGAACTGCTATAACGACAAAGCCCGCCGACATACCGCAGGTATATGTGAACCAGGCTTAACAATAAATGATCGATCGACTTACCACGCAGGTGAAAATCCCGCAGTTATAATTGTCTGTTTGAAACTGGTGTGCTGGCTCAGTGATTGGCCATTTTCCGACGTCCGGCCATTCTAAGAGACACGAGAACGTCGTGCTAAAGTAAATGAAATAGAAGTTCATGCATCATAAAGTAAAATCAATCAGCTTGGAAATACTTTTTTAATTAATGCAGTATGATTATTATTACCATGTTCCTTTTTATAGCGGACTGAAGGTAATTAGTGCAAGGATTTGTTAGATAATAAAGTGCTCAACACTAATATTATAGTAGAGCAAGATATATTTATATCTTAAAATTAATTATTGCTACTCAAGTTTCACGCCTTACTCAGACGATATTCGGGCAATATATATATATATATATATATATATATATATATATATATATATATATATATATATATATATATATATATATATATATATATATATATATATATATATTAATAGTTAAGTCAAATATATACATTAATGTGTGGCAAACTAATTATTTAACTGACCTTAATAACTCAATTTCGTCGTAAAGCCAGTTGCCCTTAGTTATCTTTCTTGAGTTGGATGGCAATGGGTCCAAGTAAATTTTCTGATTTTTGTCTTTGTCAAGGATCTACACCAATCAGAATAAATTAGAATAATTATTTGTATGTTCATAACAAAGAGATTCTGTACGTATTTGATGATCCCTGACAGACGTCCGTCCTCAATTAATAGCAGATTAAGAAGATAAAGATAGTATGTCAAAAAATTAATGTAAGGAGTAACAAATTATTATTTATTGCAATAGAAACTGACTGTAACGTTTTCTATACTACTACACTAGGTGGTATACTTTTCGAAGAAAGGGCAAAAAATAATTTCAGAAAGGTGGCGGAATAGTGAAATAAAATCCAGAAAATTGTAATACTCATTATTCCTTATTCTGCATGCTCGCAGTTTCCTGTATGGAAACATGCAAGCATACTAGCATAGTCAATCAAAATATTGTCTTCATGAAACTGCGCATGCACATGCAAGTATTTATTTTATATTTCTGTTTATTTCTTGTGAACGGTGAAGTCGATGCATTTTTATGCATAATGAAGCGAAATTTTAATTTAAAACGGACAGCTAGTCTTCGAACGGCTAGTCTCCTATACCTATAATAGTTAAAATGAGATTGCGTATATTAATTGCTTTTCTGAAGAAAAGTCATCATCAAACACTTAATTGCTTTCAAACCGGTAACGTCTTGTCCAATAAACATGGTCGTTCCGATAGGCGAGATTTCCGGGATCCGGTCCCTCAATGAGGATTGAAAAATAATGGTGCATGAATAGAATGATTAATGCAATTTGTTCTCATCAATTCATCCCACTAATCCATTTATGTACACAAAACGTGCAATTTATAGCTTTGACGAATGGGTACGAGTCAGTAGCAGGATCATATAAACAGCTCTTGATGTGATACAATTGTTTTTGCATGGTAGTAGAGTAGCTACTCCCAAGTTCATAGAAAGAATTATTTGAGAAATACGTGAGAAAAATATGCTAAAATGCGCCAGTTTCCATTCAATACCTTTACATTGCCCTTAAAAATAATTTCCTGGAGAATGTTAAGTTGCTTACCAACAGTGTCCAATGACTCCCCCAAAAATTTAACGGAATCATTACTTCCCTAATCTCCTTATCTGTGGAGAGGTTTAGGGCACCCATCATTGCCATTTGGTGTGTCAATGAAGAACACACCAGGATTTCTTTTCGCCACCGAGTGCAGTTCCACACATATTTCAAATATGTGTCGATTACCTATAAATACGAAAAGGAAATAATCATGCGTTATTCATAATGAATAATAGCTAAAAGATGTCAGTATAAGTAAAATGCCAAGCGGTGATATATTGGGTTATACACGCAGATCAAATTTTGCAAATTTCCTCCAGCTCGTGCGGGCTCATGTTGTCAGCGGATATCTGATATCAACTATGAGTAAAACGCAAAGCATTCAATTTTTCATCGACCGTCCACTAGGAATACGACCCTGTTGTGCTAGGAAAAAAAAATTAATTTTACTAAATATTACCAGCGTGATAGATTGTCATGATCTTTCCTGATTTTAATTAAGCAAATAAATGGCTTAAAAGCCATCTTATGTAGTTGTTATCATACAATTGGGACTTTTATCACTTTTAGATAATCTCAGAGATATATAGGATTCAAGGAAACATTTTTGTCTACACATGCACACAGGATACAAAGCCATATTCGATTTAATAGACAACAATAGAGATTCACATACTTAATACGTATCGATTATCTATTAATACGAAAATTAAATAATCATCAATGATCTTCGGAATGAATAATTACCTAAAATATGTTATAATTATTAAACGTGACAAATTTTGGAAATTTTCTCCCGTTCGTGTGGGCTCATATTGTCACACATACAGACATGCATATAGAAAGAAAACGATTTAATAGGCAACACTCTTGGATAGTGGTCCATTGGTCCGTAACAAAATATATTAACAGAAATAACATTTTCTAGGAATTTCTTGTGGACATTAAGGAAATTGGCAACGAAAAATTTTATTGGCTATTTCAATCCTACTTGACAACCTAACTATGAAAATATTATCATTTCCTTCTCGAACATTTTACTCTAGGAGTAAAATGCATGCAAACTTTGTGTGTCGCCGCCATCTTGGAAAAAATGACCTTCGAAGGTCAACGAATTTTGTGACGTCATTAGA